GGCCGGGCCGGGGGGCGGCGTGCGGGCCCGCGGGCCCGGCCCCCTCCCAACCGCAGCCTCTTCCCTCACAGCAAAAGGGCGTCGGGATGCACGAGCCGCTGGTGGACGCCGAGGGCTTCCCCCGCGCTGACATCGACGTGTACCAAGTGCGCACCGCCCGGCACAACATCATCTGTGAGCGGGGAACGGGAGCCGGGCGGGGAGGCCTTGCCGGGATGAGCCAGCGAAACCGGGGTGTGCGGGGGAAACGCGGCCTGTGCCCGAGAACAGGCACCGCCGAACAGCGGTGACACCGCGGGATTGTCTGGAACCCCCATCTCGCTGGTTGTAATTCCTCAGAGCTGCAGCCCGGGGCTGCGCTCAGCCTGTTTTCCAGAGGGTCTGCTCAGTGCTCGGAGCTGAGTCAGTAAAATGCTTTTGTCCACGTGTTGCTGCAGAGGTGCTGAAATGCTGCCACTGCTGCGGAGCCGTTTGGGATCTGTGGAACACAACAGTGCTTTTCTGTGCTGTTTGTAGAATGAAATTTGGGTGGGAAACAGCTTGGCAATTATTTCATCCCAAGCTTTCCCAGTGCCCTGACTTTCAGGATGGGTTTTGCTCTTCATACGTAACAGCAGGTGGCTTAATGGAAAGACTTAAGCTGCTCACTGGGTTCTAAGGATCATGGGTCTCCCAGCCCTTCTGCTTTTGCGTGTTTACCAAAATTCATAGGGTGGTTTTCTCTGTGTCTGACTTCTACTGATAAACATCTGTGGAGCTGGCACCAGGCCCCAGCAGATAGAGCAGAGGTTCTTGCTGAGATCAGAAACAGCCAGGGCACTGCTCTGCATGGCTGCAGAGGGGAGCAGGTGCTTTGGGGGAAGCCTCTCCAGCTCCCTGCATGCTCCTGGTGTCACCCACAGGTTTGCAGAACGATCACAAGGCCCTGATGAAGCAGGTGGAGGAAGCTCTGCACAAGCTGCACGCCCGGGAGAAGGAGAAACACGCCAGGGATGAGGCGGAGGCCATGGCCGAGGCCATGAGGCAGAACCAGAGCCTGGCCCAGGCCTTTGCCAAAGTGAACGCCGTGACCCCGGGCTCCCCTGCCAGTGTCTCGGTACGTGGGGCACAGCTCGTGGGAAAGGCTTTGTCTGGAGCCAGACAGCTCAGGGCTCCCTCTGCACCTTGTTAATTAGTGGGAATAAGATGGGGCTTGATTAAGGTGTCACCCCCTTTTTTTTATCACGTTGGGATGTCTTTGAAGAGGCTGGTGACTGTACAGGGATGAGATGGGTGTTCTCTGAGCTGTATCCTGGCATCACACAGCTCCTCCCACACCTCACTGGCCACTCCAGGCTCAGCGTTTCTCTTCCCATGAAACAGAACACAGGAATGAACACTCACCTCTCCCTATGGCCATGGAGAGGCTGTAGTGATGTTCACCTGCCTGAATGTGAGAAGTGTTGTAGCACATCTCTCCCTGTGGCTGGGTGAAGGGTGATGTTCCTGTGTTGTTACCTGTGATATCACCTGTCTTTGGAGAATACAGATGCTCATCTCTCTTCTCTCTCTGTCCAGGGACTTCAAGTTGATGACGAGATTGTGGAGTTTGGATCTGTCAATGCAAACAACTTCCAGAACCTGCAGAACATCGCCACGGTGGTGCAGCACAGCGAGGGGGTGAGCTCATTCCTGCTGTGACTGCATTCTCTCACCTGTGTTAGCTACAGCTTTTTCTACGGCACTTGGATCTCTGGAATCATCATTTCCATGTCAGACATAGTTCAGATTCAGTCTGGGCTGTTGTAGCCTTGTTCTCTCACAGCACTGAGCTATTTGCTCATGAATGGAAGAGCTGAGAGATGTGTGCTCTTTGCTGTGAGCATCACGTTGTTTGTTCTCCCTGGGGACTCCCTGCAGCAGCATTGCTGTGCCACCCTCATGGACTGGTAGAGAAGCTGTCACAACCATTAAGTGCTTGGTGGTGGAAGTGAGGGATCTCCTGGAGATGACTTCACACAAAACACTCTCTTCTTTCAGTTATAACCACAGGAGTGGGAATGGGCACTGCTGCAGAACACTTCCTTGGGCTTAATGCTCTTCTGGTGCTTCAGCAAAAGAAGGAAGAGAGTTGATTTTGTGATGGAAAAGTGAAATATTTGGTTAATTTTTTTCCCCTCTTTCAGAGACCCCTGAGTGTGACTGTGATCCGTGGTGGCAGAAGGGTGCACGTGGGGCTGACTCCAAAGCGCTGGGCCGGGAAGGGCCTCCTGGGGTGAGCTGCTGTTTCACTTGCTGGAAGGGAAGAGGCTTTCAGCAGCTCAGGGCAGGTTTCCTGAGCAGGGCCAGCCCTGACTGTGTCACTGCCCACTGTGGCAGACCTCACAGATCTGTCCCTCCAGGGAGCTGGAGGCTGCTGGTTCTGCATAGGGACACAGGGAATAGAGTTCCATCAAACGAGAGCACAGGGAGAAAGGTCTCTGGCTGGTTGGTCTGGTAGAGGAAACCAGTGGAGGAGGGTTGTGGTGGGTCTGATCCATCCCATGTCAAGTCTTCTGTGCCTGTTTGAGGAATAATTTTTTTTATTTCCTTCTACCCTCTTCTTTTTCAGCTGCAATATCATTCCTTTACAAAGATGACCATGGCTTGGAGAACAATAAAGCTGAAGTTTGTGCCTGCTTTCTGGACTCTGATCTGGTTTGAAGACTTCCCTACGTGGTGTTGCTGTGACCTCTGGTGCCTGAAGGGTTCTGGCAGAGCAGGGCCCGCCTGCAGTTCAGAATTGCACTGGTTGTCAGGAGGAATCTGCAGAGCTGCAAGATGTGGCTTCTCATCTCTTCCACCTTGTATCAACTTAGAATAAGGCTCTAGAGAGACCCAAATCTCACTTGATACATGCTCTGAAGAGCTTGAAATGCTCTTTCTTGGTGATAACAGAGCATTCCTTTTTCTCCCCTTTGAAACTCCTCACTGAATATCATGTAATATATGCTAAAAAGCCCTAGAGCACTTTTTGATGCCTGTCATAGTAGATGACAACCAAGAAATACGCAAGTTTGATACTTCATCTTCCCCATGTTGCCACAACTTTTAAAGTCAGTAAACATACTGAAAGGATTTTTGGAATGCCCAGTTATTTTAACACAATGAGGTAAGGAACAGGGATTATAATTCTACTTTTGGAACTTCTAGTAGTTCATGTAGTCATGATAAAAGCACTCCTAATCTGACTTCTCTCTCAATTTTCTTTGGATTTTTTAAAAATTAGTTTATTTGCAGGAGTTGATTTTGGGGTGTTTTCCTGGTTCCAGCCAGGACAGGGTTTACCTTTTTGTGCTTCCCATTCTCCTCTCCATCCTGCTGCAGGAGCAGTGGTGGGAGTGGGTGAGTGGCACATGGTCTGGGGTGTTTTCAGTGGGAACAGTAAGTTGGGGAATACCATTCCTAAACTTTGAAGGGATTCTGGGAATGACTGGTTTGTTTGAAGCTTATTTCCAGTTGAACTTCAAAAGAGTCTCCCAAAACAATAAAACTGAGTATTGCCTCTCTCTGTTCTCATAGAAGTCATTATTTGGGGCAGCCTCTCTGGGTCAGGGAGATAATGAGAGCTGATAACAAATCTCCTTTCTGCTCCCAGCAGGGTGTGAGGCTCTTTCTGGGCAGAAGGAAAAACAAATTAAGTTTAGAAATTGTTATTACTTGAGCTTAACAGCAAAGCTGAGCTCAACAGCTGTGAGCGTTTGGAGCTGATGATCTGCAGGGGTGAAGTGAGAACCTGGAGTGAGCCCTGGCAGTGGATTCCCTGTGGAAGTACTGTCCTGGCACAGAGCTGGGGACCGTGGGGGACTGGCAGGGGTTGGGGGAGGATTTTTCTCGTTTTGACTTCGCTTGTCCTGCTCAGGGAAGCCACTGGAGCAGAGCTGCCTACAATTCCTTGTGAGGGGCATCGGGTAAGGATCCCTCATCCCGTTCGCTGGGCAGGGTGAAGGTTCGGTCCCGAATGGCTCCGGCGATGCCAACAGGGGCTTTGTCACAGCTATGAGCGGGATTTAGGCTTGGGCAGGGTGAAGGGCTCGGGGTTCCCTTCTCCGAGTCCCTGCTTTGGGGCGGGGGGGCAGCGCTGCCTCTTCTGGCAGCCGGTGGGGACGAGGAAGTTCCCCCGCCTCTCTCGGTATTTCCCGGTGCAGGCGGTGAGGATGAGGAGGGTTCCCCCGCCTCTCCCGGCGTTTCCCGGTGCAGGCGGTGAGGATGAGGAGGGTTCCCCCGCCTCTCCCGGCGTTTCCCGGTGCAGCCGCTGGTGCTGCCGGTGCTGCCGTTGCCTGGGAACGGCGCTCGCAGAGGCAGAGACGCGGGGATCGCTGTGTCGGTGAGCGGGGGCGTCCTCGGAAGGGTGGCCGGGGTGGTCCCTGGGGACAGCAGGAGGCACCGAAGCCTGGAGGGGTTTGGGAAGGGCTCCGTGTGAGATCCGGGGGCCGCGGCCGTTCCCGAGCTCCCGTCCCGCATGCCGGGGCCCGCAGGGTTTTTCCCAGGGCCTCTGTCCCCTCTCGTGAAAGTTTTCTGTGCACAAGGTTTCCGTGCTGGCTCAAATCCAGACCCGTGAAGCCGGAGGTGAAGCAGCTGCCGCCCAGGAGCAGGTGTGTGCTCACAGGGACTGTGACAAAACCCCGTCCAAAAGGGACATTTCTGTGGCCGGCGCGGTGTGCGGGCTGACAAGGGACGGAGCGTGCTGGAAGAACCGCTGTACTGGGCTTGTTTGTGCTCAGTGTGGGAGTGTTACTGGAGCTGACAAGGGGCTCTGGGACCCATTTCCCAGTTTCACAGGTGCCCTTTCCTCCTGCTGTGCCCAATTCCAGGTTGTTGTGCAGCCAAATCTGGGAGAGTGTGTGTGGGGAAGTATTTCAGAGCATCTCCACACCCAGCTCCCTGGGAGAAGGGTGAAGGTGTGGATGGATGTTCCATCTGAAGTTACACTGGAGTAACCCACTGAGAGAAGAGCAGCACTAAGCAGTGAGCCCAGGGAGATGTCCCAGGACAGACAGACAGCTCAGGAGATGGATGTACAGCCTGAGAAGGTGAGGGTGGTGCCATGGAAAGTCCTGTTTGAGACAGGGTCTGGGGCAGATCCTAATGGAAACAGAGCCCCTGGGATCTGGGACATGCTGGGGTTCATTCCCAGGACCCAGGGCAGTCCTTATCCAGACCAGCCCAGGAGCCAGCATTCACCAAAGCCTCTTTTCCTTTTCAAGGATCCCCTTGCTGCTGCCAGGGAGAAAAAAGGAGCACCAGAGAATACTGCAGAGTCACCATTGTGTCCCCGGTCATCTCCTATGGGGATCTCAGACACCCTGCCCAGCACCTGGGCTGGGATCCGGGGCACCCTGGGGGAAGGCACTGCTGAGACATCGTGCCCGGAGGGTGCTGGACCCCCTGGACTACCCCCAGCACTGTCTGAGGGCAAGGGAGCCATCTCCAGCCCTCTCTCAGGCTGCACAGAGGAGCACACACGGCACAAAGGCTTTGCCAGCTTGGTGTGGGGGGCCACGCCGGGGATGCTGTTCCGGAAGAACAGGGACAGGAGCCTTCATCCCTTTGTGAGTACCAACGGGCACGGTGCCACTTGGGATGCTCCACACAGCACTCCGCACTCCTGCCCCGCCCTCTTCCATCACCCCACGGACCTCCTGTGCCTGTTTTGTCCCGGCCGCTGAGAGCCAGGAGCTGCCTTTTCCCTGCAGGACCTGTCCTGGGTGTTTGGCTACAACAGCAGCCTGGCTGTGCACAGCCTGATGGACGGGGAGGACCGAGTGCTCCTGTACGTCTCCTCCCACATAGTGGTCGTCCACGATATCCTGCGGAACAGGCAGTTCCACCTGCAGGTCTGGCACACATATCTGAGCATATTCCTCCTCCCCTTCTCCTGATCCCCCTCCCTCCATCTCTCTCTCTGGTGCCCTGTGGTCAGGGGTCACCTATAACCAAACCCAGGAGCAGCCCATCCAAAAGGTACAAACAAAACAGCCCCAGGTTTGCTGCCTCCAAGGCACTTTGCTGCTTCCCTCCCCCAGGGTCACACGAATGTCATCTCCTGCCTGTGTGTGAGTGAAGACAAACGCTGGGTTGCAACTGCTGACCGAGGGCCAGATGCTCTGATCATCGTGTGGGATTCCTACTCCGGGTAAGCTCCCAGGAACCTCCTCTTTTGGAAACCCCCCGTGTCCAGTAAAGCACTCAGGACCAACTCCAGTCCCAGCTGAGTGTAAAATGGGAGAACACAGGGGCAGACTAAAAAGCAGCAAAGGAGCCAAAACCAAGTCCTTCATCATCCTTGTATCACCCACACCCACGGGACACTGAGATGGGGCTGAGCTCCCCCAGATTAAGACATCACATCTCCATGCTGTAGGATCTACAAAAGATCCCTGGTGAGTTGTTTCTCCGTGCCATTTACTTGAGAGGAAGGGATGGAGGGGACACTGAGCACCAGCCTGTTTGCAGCCTCCCTTCCTCCATCCCTTCTTCCACACAGACCAGGGTGGGTAGGTTGTGCCACACTTTGCCAAGTGACTGCCTTGAACCCCCTGTGCTGCCAGGAGCACCCATGAGGTCTCTGCTCTGCAGGGTACCTGTGTGCACCATCTTCGAGACTCACTCAGAGGACGGGATCTGTGCCATTGCCATTTCCCAGGATGCCAAGTATTTGGTGACCATTAGTGCTGCTGCTGTGCAGGTGAAGAGAATATTTCCTCTTTCATAGCTTTGCAGGATAGAGACCTGGAAAGGATAGGACCTTTTTTGCAGTGCAGCACAGGAGAGGTGGGAATTCAGATGAGGAGAGAGGGGGAGCAGGTTTGCAGAGTGATGCCTTGTTTTTGCTGAGCCATTAGAAGACAGACCTGGATTTCATTAGAATGAATGCTGCAGAGTTGAGAAAATGGATCTTAATTTGGGATAAAAGCTTCTGACTTCATCACTTTCATTTAAGCAATTTCTAGCGCTATTTCCTGAAATCAAGCTTTCTGCTGCCAGGCTGTGCTGGGTTTTACCCTGCTCCAGTCTTTTAGGCCACAGTAGCCCCTGCAGTGGGTGGGGAATGGGATTTACCTGGCTTCCCCAACCTTCCAGAAAGCCACAAGTGTTCCTTGTTTTTTTTTTTTCCCTTATCTTCCAGAAAGTTTGTGTTTGGAGATGGACTTTGCCCACAGACAAAGTTATATGCAGCACAGAGCTGAAGCCTGAGTTTGGGTATCAGGTGAGTGACCATGGCCAAGGGGGGCAGAGGGGATGGGCTGGACTGGGCAGCCCCATCCTCCCCTGCTCCCCCCTTTACCCCCATCCAGCACGGGGCTGCTGGTAGGTGTCAGCTGGGCATGGGAGGCAGGATCACATCCCTGATGGAGCAGAGCATCCCAAGGGGTCATCCCTGTTCCTCTGATGCCTGGCAGGCATGGGGTGTCCTCTGCTTTCAGTTCAGTGCAGCTGGTGAGGTGGTTTTGGATAAAAGTAGTGGTTTTGGATGGAAGAAAAGCAGAAAGCACTCAGATTGGCATTAATGCAATTCTCTGAATTTCAGGATTATGTCATTTTTAACCCTCAGAATCCCCATGAGTTTGTCAGCAACAGCAAAACCCAGGTGATATTTTTCCTGTGGGTAAGTAGGGACATGGGAAGTCGTATTTCTAGTGCCACAAAGGAGGTGGCAGGGCGTGCTCAGGGGCTGGGTCCACAACTGGGGTCACACTGCAGATTTGTCCCTTCCCTGCCCTTGCCAGATCCCAAAGTGCTCTGGCCAGAGTATCATACTCCCTCCACTCCCACACTGGTCGGGCCCAGCAGTGGCAGAGATGCTCTTCACCTCTCCCACTCCTGCTTTCCTATGGACCTTGTGCCATTCAGCAGCTTTTGGAAAGAAGCAGGTGGAAAGAGAGGATGTTTTGTGTTCTCTGTAAGATCTTGGAGCTTTTCTGCCCCAGGAGCCCTGCTTTGGTCACCATAGTGTGGGGCTAGTGCCCAGATGGTGGGGAGGTGACATGGTGGCACTGCAGAGCTTGGTTCCAAAACCCCTGTCCTGGATGTTTTCTCTGCTTTCCCCAGGATACTTCTGGCTTGCAGTATGGGACACCATTCCTGAGCAACCAGGTGAGCACAGCAGGGAGGGACCACAGCATGTCACCCTCTGGGCTTTCCTGCTGGCAGCAGCACTGGCCCTCCCCATCCCCTTAAGCAAAAACAGTAGCCATGGCCCCAGCCTGTCCCCCTCAGACAGGCACAAGCCAGGTTTGCCTGAGTTGAGTTCAAGCAGGGCTCTCTCTCCATGGCGCCCCACTGCATTTTCTCCTGGGTCTCTCATGTCTTGTCCTGCCATGGGACACGAATATCATGAGGACCAAGCAGAAACCTCTCTGCTTGAGGAGGGCAGAGCCAGCTCTGGGATAAAACCACAGCCTGCTTGCTGTCTCCACAGACCTTCAAGTGCCTGGTGGGACAGTTCAGCCAGTCAGTTTTCCATTTTAACAACACCCAAGCTCTGACGGGCACCTCGGCCGGGAAGCTGGTGGTGTGGGACATGGACAATCCCCGCACTCTCCCCGAGGAGCTGCCGGGCAAACCCCACGGGATAAAAGCCACCAAAGTGGTGTCAATGCAGAAGGAGAGTCTTACCGTGCTCCAGGTGTTGGAGAGGTAACAGGGCAGCCCTTTTCAATAGCTGCAGGTTCAGTCCTCAGGTACCTCAGCTGTAGGAGTGGCAGATATAATGTTGGAGTTTCACTTGGCAGCATGGTCACTCACGCAGGAAAGTGCTGCTGGTTTATGACTAATTTTCCAGCGATGGATTTGCCTGGGGGTGGAAATGAAGTTGAAAAGTCGTGGTGCTGCGATGCCAGCTCTGCTGAGGTAGCTCAGGCAGTGGCTCAGCCTCCTGGCCGCCACCGGCAGAGGGAGCAGACAGCCACCAAACGCCGCGACAACCTTGGGGACACGGCAGGGTCACAGCAGAGCCGCTGGTTTCTGCACAACCCTGGCTTTCTCCTGCACATCTGTGCAGGGCTCTGCTCATGTGCTGGTGCAGAGAAATGGGGAAGAGATTTGCTTTCACCCAAGGATGCTCTCCAAGAAGTATTTGGGAGTTATCAGTCAGTGTGTTGGTTAATAACTTTCCCTTCCCTGCAGTTGTATAGTCACAGGTGATGTGGAAGGACAGGTTAAATTCTACGATGGGCAGCTGCGGCTCCTCACCATCTACAGCCATGACAAAGTGGGTCCCATCCGGTCCATCTCCTTCTCCACAACCCTTCGTGATCCTCCCAGTGCCCCCCCAGGCAGCAGCCAGCCCTTTCTCACCAGGTGAGTGTCTCTTTACAAACCCAGGTCTTCTCCTGTGTTTGCCTTGCAGCTGAGAGCTGGGGAGGTGGAGGTGGTCAGTGAGAGCTGCTCCATGAGCTTCTGGAGCAGGATTCAGCCATGTGCCCAGGCACAGGAGAGGGACAGAGTGTGGGTGGGCTCCAGCACATCCCAGACTCTGAGTGTGAGGTGATGCCTTGGCACAGACATGGCATTAATGCAGGCAGGGTGATGACCAGCTTCTCTGTCAAGTACCCAGCACACCAGGCAGTGCTAGTGCTGAGCCTCCAGCTCTCAGACCCCTTAATCCCCTCTAAACATCTCCCAGGGATGGCTGTGTCCCGATGGATTTTATCACAGCTTGGCAAGCTAATCGGGGCAGTGGCACAGGGTTGTGCCACACTGCCTGGGCACCAGCCCCTCTCTGTATCTCTGTGTGATGAAGCTGTGCCTGAGGATTAACAGGGAGTCTGCAGCCCAGATGAAGCTGTTGAGTGACTCCATCCAGCCCGCAAACCACATCTGTCATTCCTGTTAAGGCTTTCCTGGCAAGTCTGTTCTTAGCCATGTGTGTTTTCCAAAGACACATGGGACAGATTCTTCTCCAGCCTGGAGCAGTGTCCTGGGGATGGTTTGGTTTCCCTGTTGGTCTCTGTTGTCTCATCCCTCTTCCTGGGTCACTGCTTCAGCTCCTGCCACTTGCAGCTGCTGTGGGCAGCACAAAAGGCTGAAAACTAAAGGGGAAGGTCTGAGCTGATCACAGAGGCTGGTGGGATTAGGAATGGCTGGAGAGCCCAGCTAAGGCAAGCAAGGAGTGCAGAGTCCATCTGTGCCTGGGCCAGATGTGCATAAATTGGTGGCTGTGGTGGAAGAGCTGGTAAAGAAGCTGTGCTTCCCCACTTGTCTGTGCAGCTCCTAGACTCAGCCTGGAAAAGGCTCCAAGGTGACCTTGTAGCACCTTCCAGTGCCTCAAGGGCTCCAAAACAGCTGGAGAGAGACTTTGGACAAGGATGTGGAATGACAGGACAAGGGGAAAATGGCTTAAAATTGGCACAGTTAGTTGGGATAGATGGGATATAGGAAGCAATTCCTCACTGTGTAGGTGGTGATGTCCTGGCACAGGTTGCCCAGAAAAGATGTGGATGCCTTGTGCCTGGAATTGTTCAAGGCCAGGTTGGATGGGTCTTGGAGTAACCTGGTCTAGTGGAAGGTGTTGAAACAAGATGATCTTTAAGGTCTCTTCCTACTCAAACCAGTCTGGGATTTCTGTGTGGTCTTCTCTTGTCCCTTTTACTGGGTCCAGATTCTCCATCAAGCAGACTGAAACTGTACATGTTTGTGCTGTAATGTGAATAATTATCCATCTGTCTGCTTCACACATCACCAGTCACACGGTGGAACCTCTCTGCTGTGCTGGTCAGCGTGGCCAAATGAGCAGACAGAGACTGAAACTGCCCTCTGACCTTGGCCATGGCAGCACAGTCAACATGGAGCCACTGACAATGGTGGTGTGGAGACATGAAAAGCCCATTCAGTGTATCTCCAACTGCTCATTTGTCCATCTCACACACCAGTGACTTGCAAATAGCAGGAGCTCCCCAGATGTCATTCATCTTCTGGCTTGCCTAGCCAAACAGAAAATGGAACTGGCTCCAGTGTCTTCCCATGGCCATTTCCCAGGTCATGAATATAAAGTGCCACTTGCCTTCCAGGTCAAGGAGCGTTTGCATACTGTGTATCACAAAATATAAGAGATTGTCCAACTAACTTGCCAAAAAGAGGCTGATGTGTAATATAGCTTGGAGGGACATGAGCCAGTTGGTCTGATTCATCGAATTCTGTTTCTCTCACGCTAAACAGGAACTTTATCCTTTCAACCTCTGATGCAACCATGTTCCATGTTGCAACAGACAGCACAAACTTTGAAAGAATCATGGAAGAGGCAAAGAGAGCTGTGAATGCCATTGCCTGCCACCCGCAGGAGCCACTCGTGGCTGTGGGGAGTCACTGTGGGCTGCTGAAGGTGTGGGAATACAAGCAGACAAAGTACCTCGTTAGCAGGATATTCACTGAGGCTGGCATCCAGTGCTTATCCTATGATCCTGAAGGTATCCCAGCCCTGTGACCTCCCCGTGTGCCAAGCATTGGCCTTCCTGGGAGGAGTGATGGTGTCGTGAGAGGTTTCTGGTCTGCTTTCCAGGCCATTTTCTGGCTGCTGGTTTTACTGATGGAAGCGTTTACATCCTTGATGCAATTTCCCTTCAGTCCATCTGCAAGGAATTCCAGTTCTCACAAGGTCCCGTGACTCACATCAGCTTCTCTCACGATTCCAAGTACCTCGCAACCGCTGTAAGCTTGTTTTTTCCGCTCTGTGATTTACATGCGCTGCTCGCGGGGCAGCTTTGGGAGGGACTGGGAATTGCCGGCCATCCTGCACAGAGCGAGCAGGGCAGAGAGCCATCCCTCCGCTGGGGATTGGTGACTCTGAAACGCAGAGCGAGCAGGGCAGAGGGCTGTTCCTCCCCTGGGGCTTCCTGACTCCGAAATGCTTTTCCTGGCTCCAAGAGTCACTCTGTAAAAACGTCACCAGTCACAGCGGCACCGCTGCTAGCAGAGCCCCGTCCCTAACTTTAGTGACAAGTCTTAGCTCTGCATCCATCTGAAGAAGGAGCTGGAGCAGGGATTTCTTCCTGGCTGGTGCTCTGGGAGCGGGCTTCTCCCTCAACCCCGTGTCTTGGTGTAGAAGTATTGAGGCAGTGTTGAAGCAGTTTGGCTCAGAGGTTGTAGCAACTGGTGATGATCTGTACAAAGAAAAAGATTCCACTCGTTGACCTTTGTGCTGTTGTTGCAGGATGAGAATTATTCAGTGACAGTTTACAAGAGAGTCCTGGAGAATGGGAGCAGATGCTGGGAACACCTGGCAGGGCTGGACTCCCACTACAAACCCATCCGGAGCATCCTCTTTGGGATCCACTCGGACAGCAAGGAGCCCAGGCTCCTGAGCCTCGGGGAGGATCGGCAGCTGGTGGGTTAAAGGACAGTGAAGATTTGTGGTTAAAGGGGTGGGGCTGGGTAAGGCCATCAAAGGAGACTCCGTGTTTGGTTCCATGGCTCCCAACCCTCTCCCCACCAGCTCCATTGCTGGGGTTGTTTCTCAGCCTGGTCTTGCTGCTGAGGCTCTCCTATTGTGGCTTCTCCAGGAGATGCAAATCCAGTGAATCCACAAGGTCAAGGGTGCGGGGCAGAGCACAAAGGAGTTGCTGTGTTTCTTTGTCTTCCCTCCAGGTTGAATATGACCTGAAGAGCAGCATCAAGGACCACTTGGTGGTCACGCACAGAGACAGGCTGGAGCAGGATGCTGTGCCCCTGTGCTTGACCTGGTACCCACAGCTCAGCACCGAGTCCTTTTTCCTCACTGCCAACAACTGCTACAAAATGAAGCTCTATAACACGACAACAAAAATGTGCAGGTAGAGGATTGAGTCAGACCTGGGAGCCGCCTTCTGACCCTGTGTTCTTCTTGGTCTAATTACCACCATTCTCCCATCCATGAGCATGTGATTTTCCGTCTGTGATGCAGATCTTGGGATGGCTCTAGAGCCCTCAGGCTCAGGTCACTCCATTATTATGCCCACTCTGCTGTTCACTAATGTGTCATTTAGCAAGGCTGTGGCTGCAGGCAGACCTTGGTCTGCTCAGCACATTGGACCTGAGATGTAGCAGACATAAGAGACTGGGGAAAGCATAACAATTCCTGAGCATTAAGTTAATTTCTGAGGCCCAGTGTAGTCTCTTCTAGCCAGGAACCCTGTCCTATCCTGCTCTCTCAGCCAGTAGCACAAAGCCTCTGCACACCTCCCATATCAACCCATCCTTCCATACAACAGCTGTTCAGAGGGGAAAAATGTTTTGGGTGGCCTAGAGTGGATAAATACATTGTTTACCTTTAGAAAGACCCTTTTGGGACCAATCTATGGCTCTCCCTTGGAGAAGATACAAATCCTCCCTAGGACAAGCTCTGCAGACCCTCAGCAACACTACCTGGTGTACATCACAAAGGACAAGGTATGGAGCCCCAGCTGTACAAGAGCCCCCCACTTGCAGAGCTGGTGGTGCCCTGGGAATTTCATTGAAGATGAAACCACGTGGAGGCTGGTCCTGCCTGAGAGCTGAGCAAGCTCCTGGGGAAGAGGATGTGGCAGTGCCCCAGTGGAACCCCCAGCCTTCCCAGACTCCCTCTTCCCTTACAGGTGGGCTTGCAGATGCTGCCTATTGATGGCAACCCCCACAAGTCCTCAGCCTTCATCTGCCACCCGGATGGTGCCTCTGACTTTGCCGTCTCCCACGATGGGCGTTACATCTTCACAGCTGGGGGCAAGGAGCGAACTTTCATGAAATGGAAAATCAACCTACCGTGAGTCATGGCAGGAAAGGGAAAGGAATATTCTTACTGCTTTCCACAGCTGCCTGGTTGACCCACTGGGCCCCAAGCAGCTGAAACAGAGAGACATATTTTTGGGGGTTTTGTTCCCCTCTCTGACATTTAGGAGGGATTAAGCCAGCAAACCTCACAGGGGTGGCCACAGTACCTAAACAATACAATTTCCTAGTCTGGGAAATGGTGCCCAAATGGTAAGAAGTTGGGTAGAGGATCTTGTGATCCTAGTGAGGGCCTGGCCAGTGTGATGGGAGATTGTCAGGGTTAGGCAGGGACCAGAGGAGCAGCACTGCCTGCAGAAGGAGCACACAGGGCAGCTGCTGATACAAAAGTGTCTGCTCTCCAAATGGGATAGGAATTTGCTGGGAAATCCCCCGTGTTTGAAGACTGGATTTAGGACAAGCCACCTTAATCCTATAAAGCTTTGCTTACATGAATAAATGGCCTGCAGTAAATGGGGTGGCTGAAGAGGGGAGGCTGCTTTAACAAACGAGGATCTCCAGGCCCTGGCCCAGAGCACCAGTGATGAATCCTGCCAGGTTTCTTACACCATCCTCTGCAGGTTTCCCTCTGTCAGATCCCTCGGGCAGTGGTGCCAGATGTGCTCCCACATGACAAGAGAATAACACAGCAAAGGCAGGAGATAGATATTTTGGTTTCTTGGCATGTCAAGGACCAAAGCTGCTCAGTGTAATACATGTTTGGGGCACAGGCTCTTCCCTCACAGCTGCAGGTGCCCAGTAGATACATTGGTACATAGAAATGGAGCAAGGCAGATGTGAATGGCATGAAAACTGCCAGGCTACCATGGAACCACTTCACACTTCAGGGACTGGGAAGGGAGCTTAGTCCATGGCAGAGTCAGGATAGTGTGGCATGGTCTCCCTCAGTCTATACTGTTTTTGTTTTTTTTAAATCCTGCACAACACCCTCCTAGCACAGAGCACTGTGTCTCCTGGTTTCTGGGAAATAACTCCATGGGAGTTGGCTTTTAGCCCTTGCTCCTATGTTTGCCATTTGGTGTGCCTGGGAACCACCACTGCCCCTCACCTTCCTAGGACCAAGCTTTGTGGTTAAGACACGTTGGTCCTGCAAGGAACACATTTTGCAGGTACCATTTGCTCTGAGGAAAGCCCAAGGAGTGCCTAAGCCAGCTCACCTTCATGTGCCAGAACAAAGGAAACCTGAGTGGGAAAGCAATGGGTTTATTTATTTTCTTTTCCACTTTGTGTGGCTTAAACAGTCGGGGGTCAGGATAAGCGACATTTTAAGGAAGGCAATAGAATATAAATGATTCTTTTTTATAATGGTTGGCCAGAGTCCAGGCAACATTGAATTTCTATGTAATTTGGTTTTGGAGTGAAGTTTTTGATGAGCTAATTATCATTTTATTGCTGCTTCTGGCATCTTGTGAATCTCCACTGTGTTTAATACCCAAATAACTTAATTATGAAAAAAGCATGAAGCTTGCAAAAAAACCCCAGTGGAAGCAGCACTAGAAATGTGTGTGTGAAAGCTGCAGCCAGGCTGCCAGGCGTGGGGTATTATGTGGCAGTGCTATGCCATGATTGCACTTCCAGGCTTGGTTTCTTTTTACATCTGCACAAGCCAAAGGGATTCTTTTTGCTCCAACTGCCTATGAAATTGAAACAAAGAGGTGGCTACTCAGGCACTTTCAGTTTAATGCAAACTGCACCTGCGACTGCCACGGCAGAGGAAGTTGGGTAATGGATTGCACTGAGTTATTGGGGAAAAATGTGTTGGATCAAGGAACGGGGAGTTGTGTGGTTTATTGCAAACACCCAGCCCCAGCCTTCTCTGCATGTTCAAAATGCTGATCTAGCTAATTCATCTCCCTCAATGTCTCTATAAGGAAGCAGAAAAGCCAAATGCCAGACACCAAGTTCAAGTCCATGGAAAAGCTCCTGGCTCCCAGCCCTGTACTCATTCCACTAAACAAGAGGACCATTCAGTAATAATTAATTCCCACACTGTGCTATTGTATGTAAAACCTGGATATGAAATATGCTGTAGAAGTGCAGCTGATGATAAAATAGCACAAGGTTCAAGGCAGTGCTTTTCTTTCCTGAATTCTGAGGCCCAGATATTTTAATTATTGAAAGTGTCTCCTCACATGAACCCTTCCTGTACCTTCTTTCCTTCACTTCTGCCAGTGCCTTGGATGCTGCTGCTTTCCTGGGTGGGGAGGACTTGATCCCATTCTACAACCTCCTGGATGGTGGCAGAGATGGCAAATTCTTCAGGGTAATTATACTCACATGAATGCTGTCTGGCCACATCTGGCTGGAGTTTAATTTATACAGGCCTGACATTTCTTTATGTTTTGTCCAGCTTGCCTTTAACAGCAATCTCATTGATGTGGCTGTTAGTAAAACCTAAAAGGAGCCTTATCTTCTGTGCCTGTTGGTAACTGAAATTTGCAGTGTTTGTTTGAATCCCTGGCAGGAACTGGAGGACTATTTTTACTACGTACAGCTGTGCAGCCAAGGTATCACAACACTGGAGAGAAGACAGGTGTCAACACATATTCCCTTGGAGGAAATTCCTTCTGTAATGAGAGCAATAGGATTTTATCCATCAGAGAAAGAGGTTGGTCAGCTGTGTTTATTTTCCTTATTAAAAGAAGAAAGAGCAAGACTGATTGTACTTCCCAAGTGTTCTAAGGGCCAGATTCTGACCATTTCCATGCTGTATGGCTCTGTGATATATTTATTGGCTTTCAATGTATTTTTATCTGGTCTGCATCAATACAGTAGTGGTCAGAATTTGGCAGAAAATTCCTAAAAAAGTTTCCTTGCTAGCAAGTTAGGCAACTGCAGGGGAAGGCTGAGCAAACCTGGAGCCTGACACCTCAGAGTTGTTCAACAAGGCAACCTCAGGGTCAAAATTTTACAGCAGAGAGAACTGATTTAAGAAGGGTGCTGCTTCTTCCCCTTTGTGTGGCTGTTTCTCCAAGGCAGTTTGTACTGCATACAAACCTCATTTGTAATGTGTAACCTGGCATGACTGAACCTGAAGCAAGGAGATTTGAATAACGACCTCTGAGCAGCAGCTCCAGCCCCTCAGTGCAGGAGAGGCTCTCCCAAGGGAAGAGGTGCATCACTGCACTCCCTCAGCCTTTCTGTGTTCACCTCTGCCATGGCACAGGAACCCACAGGCTGCTGAGGCACTGCTGTGAGTCTGTGCCACCCCATCTGCCCAGGGATGCTCTGTCAGGAGAGCCACCAGATGGGAGGCAGGACCTTTGCCCCAGCTGCCACCAAACTGACTCACTTTGGAGCCCCCACAAGCAGCAAATGTTTATCTGAGCTGGGGCTGCTTTGCCCTGGTGTCAAGTTGAGGTGTTATCTCTTCATACTGTGTTAGATCTCTTCCTTGGGTTATTACATTTTTGCCTCTTGGGGACATAGAGAACATATTCCCTTGGGAATTGTCTCTGGAATAGTAACTGATAATGCCCCACACTTCCCCATATTAAAATATAAAACCAGCATTTCAGGCATGGAAACAGAGGTGCTGAGCTGTTGTGAAACCAGGCAACCTACAGTCAATAATAAATCCAGAGAGAAGGTTCATCTCTCTCTAGAGTCTTTTAATAAAAGAAAAGCAGGAGGGAGAAAAGGCAGCTTGGGCTGACTAGCAAAGCTTTTGGGAATTGGTGTTTTTCTTTTGTAGTTCAGTGGGGTTGATATAAAACCTAATCCCAGATCAGCCAGAGCTGAGTGAAAATGTCTGTTCTTGCTTGGCATGACATTCGCTACAGGAAAAATATAAGACTGAGATTTCCCTCTTCCCTGGGCTTCATTCAGTGGAAAAACTTGTGACACAAGGACAAAGGCCCAAAGCTGAATGCAAAGTCCTCCCTGGGGAGATCTTGCATCAGCTTCCCTGCCTGGGGAGCAGCAGGCCTGGTACGTGTTGGCACGGGGAATTCTCCCCGTGTATCTCTGAAGGGGCTGTAAGTACAATGAAAGCATGGAGCAGATGCTGCCTTTTGGACACACATCTGCACAGCTGCCAACTGGGCTGACTCACAGCACCAGACTTCAGGAAAACCACTGGTATCCAGCACAGCCAGTGCTTGCCTGTTTGTCCCAGAGGAGAGAGAGGGATCCAGCAGGGCAGGGTGTCAGCCCCATTGAGCACATTTCGGATTTGGCTTGTGCAGCGCCTGACCCGTCCTAGACACAGGGAAGAGCAGGGGAAGAGAAGATTTCTTATCCAGTCAGGGTGTGCAGCCTTGTTCTGCTGGGACTCTGGTGTGTGTGCTTCCAGAGCAAGGATGGTGTGTTTACTGGTTTGTGTTTTGCCTGCCCACTGTCCCAGAGTGGAGACACAGCTGTGCCCAAGGTGCCGGTAGCAGCTGCAGGGTCACAAGAGAGGAAATCCAAAATGACTGTGTATGTGTAACCCTCATCTTTAGTTGTTATTGTCATCTCAGCAGGTGTGTAACTGTTGGCCATTCCCATCCTCAGCTCACTTCTTTCTGGGATGTGGTCATGGCACCCCTGGAACCAACACAGGCACGGTTTGGGGACGTTCATGGGATTGGAAACTGGCCCAATGCTCTTCAAAATAAAACATGTAACAATCTGCCTTCTCTTGATCTTTAGATTGAAGAAATGATAAATGAAGTAAAATTCAGCAAGTATGCAGATACTGGAGAAGAAGTGACAAAAATCAATTTAGGAGATTTTATCAAACTTTATATAAATCATCGACCTGCACTTAGCTTGTCAATGAAAACCATACAACGAGCATTTCAGATTCTTGGTTATGATAACAAGAAGGGAGACAAAGTTATTGACAGAGGAGACTTCCTGTTACTGCTTCAGTGCAGAGGTGAGTTATTTCGTTTCTAATATCAGTTTTATGCTTGCTAGTTCTGCCTGCAATTTCAGAACTTTTTCCCTGCAGCAAGAAATTATTCTGGAATGATAACCTGGTAACCAGGGCAGGCACGAGGAGCCACCTGCCTTAAGATTTTAAATTGAATAATCACATGTCTTGTCCCAGCTGTGCTTCTTTTACTGCTCTGGAAATCTCTGATGGCCTGAGGTATCTCAGCTGTTAAATGATGAGTATGGATCTTGGCAAAATGTGTCCTTCTCCCAGTGTGCCCTTATCTGAATTGCTGTTCTCTCTTCCAGTCACACAGGCTCTGGAAAAATAGTATAAAAGTGATAAAAGGGACACAAGAAAGGAGGGATGAAATTGGTCCTGGGCTACATCTGTGTGAAAGACTGAAAAGATGGGATGATTTGGTTGAGCTGAATCATTGAGAACACCATAAATGTGGGTGTTAGTATGCTTGTGGCCAGTGCCACAGAGTGCTAATAACAAACTTCTATTGTCTTACTTCTGGTGTAAAAGTGCAGCTGAGCATTATAACAGGTAAAGGGAAATGCTGGTTTACTCGGTGCATCACTTGGCAAGACTCCTTGCTACAAAGATCCTTGGAAACCACAGATTCAGCCAGAGTGAGAAAGGTTAGCTATTTATACAGATGGTGTGAACATCCATAAATAGGTACATGAGATAGAACAGTTTCATAACAGATCTATAACCTCATGCTCCAGGGCATGAGCCAACCACTAACTGGGAACAAGTGCTATGTCCATGTTACTAAATCAAGACTTTTCTCCACCTTTCTCTTCCTCTGCATGAAAACAGCTACATGGACTGTGGTCTGTGCCAGGAATTCTCCAGTGGGAATAGAAGCTCAAGCCCCTGCTACTGCAATGTTGCTTAAAGAGCTGTCTGCATCAGAATTTCTCCCTTTGATTACCATTTTCCCCCAAAATGCTATAGGGAAGAGCAATTTTCCTTAGGATAAACATTTTCCTGTGTTGGGATCATGTGTTTCAGTTGGCAGTGTGTACGTCTCTCTCAGAGAAGCCAGATCCTCTTTTGAGCTGTCCTATTTAGTTTAATTTGAGTTGCTTTTGAGTTTTTGTGCTCTTCACCCCATAACCCATGGGCTGGTGGTGCTCTGTACAGGGGAGAAGATGACAGAGGACGAGCTGGCTGAGTGTCTGACCACCCTGCTGAGAGGGAGGAGACCCAGGGAAGAGGGATCTGAACTGGACACCCCCGATCTCACAGGTACAGGATTAGCATTCCACACTGCACAGAAGCAGGATTGTTTCAATTCCCAAATGGAATAATTTAAATTTCAAACCCATTTACCCTGTTAGGCCAAGAGCTGTCAAAACTGCTCAGATGGGATTGCAAAAATAGTCACAGAGCTACAGACTGTCCTTCATCCACACAGCAATTGCACGGGTGTATCTAAAAATAAATGGACAATGAACTATAACTGGGTTCTGACAAGATTACACTGCTGTTTATCTGCTGGCTGGAACTGAAATTAGAAACACACAGGGAAATCCCAGTGCTGGTTTCACCCAGGCTGCAGTGCCCATTGTAACAGAGCTGTTGGTAACCACCACATTTGTCTGCAATTTATGTCCCAGTCCACAGCAGTCTGGAACAGCAAATTATAGCATTGATTTGAGCCAAGAGGCTGTATTTAATTGTCCATTGTAATTGGAACTGCATTTTTGTACAATTCATGTCCCAGTCCTCACCAGTTTGGAACAGCATCTGTTTAGGGTCACTGGCAATGTGTCCCAAGCAGCAAAGGTGCTGCTCCCAAAGGGAACTTGGAAATCCCTGGATCCCTCCGGATCCTAAATCACATCAAATCCAAGTGTAAAAGTTGTCCCACCAATCCTCTGAGGCAGGGATCTGCTGCAAGTTGAAACACACAGATTTGACAGGTTTAATCCCTGATATAAACAGACCAAGTATCGAGCTAGTAAACCCTCACTTTGTCATGATCCCTTCATATATCTTTAAAAACATTTCATTCACCTATTGCTGCTTATAAATTTTACTGGAAAGCCATTTTGACATTGCTCCTGTGTGTCTTGTGCTGTTGTTACTGCTCTCCAGGTGCAGCAGCTTTGTCTGAAGAAGAAATTCCAGCAGAAATCACAGCAGAGATATTTGTTAGAGACATTCTTGGCTTACCTATTGCTGAACCAGAAAAAAAGAACAGAAGGAGAAAGAAGAATCTTTGATCTACAGAGGCTCAGAATTATAGCTACCACGACATTTTCTGTTTGTTCTCACTTTCCAGGATCCTCTCCTCAAATATCTGCAAAATTTATGGCTTGTGTTTATTGCAAAGTAAAGGTCACATAGTTGTATTTCAGTCAAACTCCAGAGTAAGTCCCCAGTTTGGCACATGCCACAAACCTGTAATTTCACACCTATATAGGGAAACACTGGAATGGCTGGAAAGAATGAAGCAGGTGGCCACTCCATCCTTGGCTGGAACCTTCCCAGAAGTCATTTCAGGTGGGTTTATGCCAGATGCAGTCTATTTTCATTATGTTAAGATAGTATTCATTTGTGAAACCTGACAGCAAAAGAGCACTGTAAGTGTATTGTATTGATTAAATACATTGATAAATGCTTTGACAGGTTAGAATGGATTTGTAATTATAAATCCAATGGACCTCGGTAAAGAAACAAATGCTGTGGTATCCATTAAAACCACGCTTCTCTTTTGGCCTTTAAACTGACTTTTCTCTTTCTGAAAGTAGTAATTCCAATTAGCAGTGTAATACCAATGGGATGGCATCGCTCTGTGTGTGTATAAACAGCATAATGAGACTGATACAAGCTGCTGTGGAAAGATCAGTGAAGTGCTGTTGAACAGCTTCCTTCTTTACATCATCCTCGGCATCAATTTGAATAATAATGTAGGCCCTTAAGAAGCGTTCCTTTCAGAAGCAATGTTTTTTAAACAGAGATCGCTGTTGTGTACTCAGAGCATCTGTGATTGTACAATTAGCAGGAGCAGCAAGGTGTGCATTAGGGAGAAGTTAATGAAAGAGTCCAGCAGTACCACACCAGAGCCTGCAGGTCTGTGACAAATTTCCTGCAGAGCATCACCTCCCATGTAAGTAATTTACCCTTTATGCTCATGTACTTCCATGGATCTGTCAGCCTCCACTGCTCAAAAGCAGCCCAGTTCTATGGATAGTACTGGAATTATTTAAAGCAGATGAGAAACTTTATAACCACTGGGGAAAAAAAAAAGCAAAATCCGTTAATTATGGATTTATGCTTCCTGTTAAAAAGGGACTTTGCTGCCCATCCCCGTGTACAAGGTCTGTCACCCATCCTACCCTTGCACCAGTTGCTGTATCTGTCACTGCCCTGTACAAAAATTGGTATTATCTCTATGTAAAGTGCTTTGAGGTTTCTAAAAGCCCTGCATTTTAGGACTGGGTTTTGCTTTGTGGTAAAATATAACTGTGCTCTTGATGCTGTTAGACTGCCTTGGTTTATCACAGAATCACGAGACTCAATTTGGTTGGAAAATATCTCTGGGATCATCGAGTCCAACCCTTGACCGGTCACCACCTTGTCAACTAAACCACAGCACCAAGTGCCACATCCAATCTTTCCCTAAAGGGGAGCTGATCCCATCACCTCCCTGGGCAGCTCTTGGTGACCTTTTAGAGTGGAGGCGAGCTGAACTCGGACAGACGTTTTAGTTCTGGGTAACTTACGGCCTGAGCTTGGTGGAAGTGGGGAAAGAGCGTTGTGTCTTGTGCTCGCTCCATCGAACACTCGAGGAAAAGCAGCGACGGGAACCCTGGAAGCGCGGGGCCAGCGGCCGCCTCGGGCTCCTTCCCCCGCGCGGGCTCCTTCCTCGCCCGGCACCTCCTCCGCAGGTCCCCGCCGGGGGCGGCTCGCTGTGCCCGCGGTTCCGCGGCGTCCCCTCAGCCCCGAGCGCCGCCGGGGGTCGTGCCCCCTGCGCTGCCCTCCCCTCCTCTCCCTCACGGCCGCCGCCGCCGCTCTTCCCGCCACCCGCCGTCCCCTCACGGTTCCCGCCCCTCCCCTCCCCGCCGGCCCCGCGCGTGCGCGGAGCGCGGGCCCCGCCGGGCGGGCGGGCGGAGCCGAGCGGAGCCGCCGAGCGCAGCCGTGCCGAGCCCCGCGCAGCCCCGGCATTGTGCGGGCGGGCGCCCCGACACACGGACCGAGCCGCCGGCCGCGCCGAGCGCCGCGTTCCCCGCCGAGCCCGCCGCCCCCCCAGCAGCATGTCGGGCCGGTCGGTGCGGGCCGAGACCCGGAGCCGGGCGAAGGATGATATCAAGCGGGTGATGGCGGCCATCGAGAAAGTGCGCAAATGGTGAGCGGGCCGCGCCGCGCCGGGACCCCGCGCCCGCGTCCCCCCGCGCCCCGCGCGGGTCCGGGGCTCGCCGGCGGCCGCGGGGGGGCGGGGAGCCGGCGGCACCCAGCAGCCATTTCGCTCCGGCGAGTCACATGAAGGCGGCGGCGGCGTGTGAGGGCGAGAGGCGGCTCCATTGTGCGGCCGAGCCCCCTCCCCGCCGCCCCCCGCCGGTCCCCGCCGACCCCGGCCCGCCGCCCCTCGCCGCGGGTCCCGGGCCGGGCGCCTCGGGCATGGGCGGGCGGCGGGGTCGGGCCGGGCGCCTCCCGCCGCCGGTTCCTACAAAGGGCCCGGGGAGCGGGCCCGGGGTGGCTCCGCCGCCCGCTCTTCTGGGTGGAAATAGCGCTCGGAGAAGTGCTCTGGAAAAAAAAAAAAAAAGAAAACACGTTAAGAATACCCCTGGGAAGCTCCCCAGAGTTTATTTTTTTTGCCATTGACTGTTTATGTATTGATTTCACCTCCCAAGTTCCCGGGGTTTGCGCGTAAAAGCGCAGCAAACCCGAGCGCGATCGTCTCCCACCGACGCTCCTGGAGAGAGCGCGAAACTGCCCCTGGAACCTCTTTGAAATCATAAAATTAAAGGTTGTACCCCGTGTGAAATAAGTCCCTTTTGTTAGGCCTTCAACGCGTTTTGGAATTTCCTCGCTTTTGTCTTTTTTTTCCCCCTGGCTTTTGTTAGAAAAACGCACACGAGGTGTTTAAACAATACAGTTAAAGCGGTCGCCGCCGTGCTCTGCATGGCCGGTGCGGGGATTTGGGATGGCAGAAAGAGCAGTGCCGGTGTGACTCAAGAGTGAATCTTTCTTCCAGCAAGTTGGCTGACTGTTCAGCTCTCTCTGTGCGTGTATCTTAAAATACTTTCTTTAAATGTTTGGAATCCACGGGGAAATCCCTTGCGTTATTGTTACTGTGCATCACTCAGCTGGTTTGAAGCTTTGGAATCAAGGGGACACTTCCATTGTCCTCCTCAGCGGACGCTTTGTTTTCGTTAAAAATAGAGCAAAGTGCAGAACTGAACGTGTACGTTATTAGGGTGAATTGGATTGGTAAGTTTTTAATGGCCTTGAGCACACGAATGGGCCCTTTGGAGTGATCCGGACAAAGAATCGGGACGTGTGTCCAGTAACGCCGGGCACGGGATGGGGATTTCAAAGAATCCAGCCTTTGTGTAGGGAGCGGGAGCAGCCCCGGCTCCGCTGCCCGGGTGGTTTCAGGAACTCTCTCCTACTCGGGTGTTGTTTTTAAGTGCAGTTTGCTGACTGCTGGGCCGGCTTTGGGGGGTCAGAACAATGTGCAGTGGTGTGACAGGACTTTTGTTCCAGCCGGAGCGTGGTTGGATGTGTGGGACTGTTCTGTCTGTAGGTATTTCATTCATGAGCACAGCACGCTCCCTTTGAATCCTGGTTTGCGGAATTCAGAGAGGAGTAGAGACAGGAGCTTGGCCATTCAACAAAATACCTAATTTATTTATTTTTGCTTGGCAAGGACTCTCTGCCATCATGCCAGTTGCTATGGCTCTTTCTGTGAAACAGAAATCTTATGGTATAAATAGATTTCTCTACATTTTAACCTTCATGATAGCTTGTTTTAGAGGGCTCCTGTACGGTCGTGCAGTGTTGTTTATTGTCAGAAGTATTGATCCGACTTTTTGTGCGTGCACCTCACAAGTATTTACATAAAGCAATTTACTTATTTTTCAAAGAATCATAATTTGAAGGTGAATCTCATGGTTACCCCTCCATCTGCAGTCAAATACAGCGGGAAATTTAGCTAGAGAGATTCTGTGTTTTGTGGTTTCAGTGTTTTGGGAAGACTTGGCTTGTTAAATTGAACTTTCCACACTAGCAATTCCTGCATCTTCAGAAGAGCCACATCGGCAATTTCCAAGTGTGCAGTTTCATTTGCATAATAGGAGCAATTTGTTGCCATCCACAGCTCTTCTGTGGAAATGCAGCCGCTGAAAATTAAAATACCTTGCGTCCAACATTTCCTAGAACAGAGTTTTGTGAGACTTGTGTGCTCAGAGCAGTGCATGCCAGGGATGGGCAGGGAGACAGACTGGGCTGGGAACTCATCCTAGCAGACAGTGGCTTTGTCCAAGGCATTATCCACCTGTGCAGGTGTGCAGCACCTTGCTGTGCTTGCTATTCCTCAATGCCTGTGCTGCCATGTCTGTGACTGTGCCTGCTGCAGGCAGCTTCCATCAGGGCGGACTTTTTTCCTCAGAAAATCAGTGTTCCTGGACAGCCGGCGCTTGGATGCAGCTCCCCTGTCTTCCTGTCCGTTCCCAGAGCGCGTGGCACTCGTGGTTATTGCTGGAACTTAGTAGTAAACAATGAAGTTGTTACGTTTTTTTATCTTGAGATACTGTAACCTTATCTCCTTTGTTTAAACCACGCTCATGAATGAGCATCTGTTTTGGAAAACACACAGCACGTGGCTTACAGAATGCATGGTTGCCTTGTGTTTGTGTGGCAGAAATGTGAAATTTCCACAGCAAGAGAACAGTACTTAAAATTCTTCTACCAGTCTATTTTAAAAGTCCTCTGAAATTATTTTGTCTCAATGAATGGTACAGGATTGTTTTTTTGTCTTTAAAGGTTGATGAGCACATGTAGATTCCAAGTGGGCTCTCAAAAACAGAGGGGCAAAAACTGTTGTGCCCTCAACCAGCATTAGAAAAATACTGAACACTCTTAGTTTTTGTCAAAGTTTTATTTATTAAATGAAGGAAAATACAGTCATCTAGAGCAGGATGAAGGCATAAGTGGTAGGATGTCTTGGGAGGCAGTGAAATAATTTGCCTGGGTACATAGCACTGCTGGACGTTGGGACAGCTGTGCAAACATGTGAGGATGGAGGTCTGGAATACCTGGTGGGGATAGGTGACCCTGCCTTGCCTTTGAATCTCAGTTTTTCTTAGGAGCCCTTTGACCTTTTTCTGACCCATCAAAGCCCTGATCTGTGGGTAGTGATAACATCTTAGGAAGAAGAGGTGAACCTGGACAACTGGTGAGAAAGTACCTGGAGAAAGCTGAGGGGAAAAGTCCCCAAGGGCTGTGTTACCTGGTGCCATGGGCTGGGATCATGAGCTGTGGCTATTTAGGATTTCTAGGCAGTGCTGCTGTAGCTTTCCTGTTCACTGTCTCCATTCAGACTTGCTAAAATGCTTTTGTGTGCTGTGTAATGCTCTGAGATTGAGCTGCTGCAGGTTTTGTTGCTCATGCCTCCTTCTTCAAATAGGTTTTCTCTCTGAAAAGGAGTCATGACACACAACTCCTTAACATGATGTCTTTGGAAAAAGGCTGTTTGCTATTCCCAGATCACCTCCCTGCTTTAGCCTTTCTCTGTTGGGTTTTCTCCTAAGACTGTAGTTCAAGTAGTGATGGTTGAATTAAAAATACCCAGTGTATGTGCAGGAATGCACCGAAGTTCTGTAGTGGCCCAAACACGCTGTTAGCATGCTTGAATTATGATACCTTTCTTTTTTCTGGCTTGTGATTATTTCTTTCTGAGCCAGGATATGCTCTCTGACTTCAGTGGAAGCTGAAGGCAGAGTTTTGGCATGTGTAAGCCATTCTTTTTGCTGTGAGCAAGGTGCCTGTGGCCACGTGGAACCAAGCAGGGCTTGCTTTAAGCCATGTGTACCTTACAGGAGACTCCCCAAATGTGCTGTACTTAGATAAACCCAGAGAGAAGGTGTCTGTGACCTCATGTCCTTGTCCAGTCTCTCTACATGACATTTTATTATATTTGCAGCCTGTTCAATAAACACCATGTGTGTTTG